CTTTTATTTGCAAATTTACCTGCTCACCAGTGTTACCAGAGAAAAATTTCGTTTGGAGCTAAAACGTTCGAAAAAATAGCTAAATAATACTAATAGTAGCTAAAATGAAGAGCTATATATTTTTGTAAAGGTTAAGCATTTATTGACGTAATGTTGTTTTTAAATTTTCGGCGGTTTTAATAAAAATAACAAATTTTATAAGTTTAAGTGCTGAAAAAATCTTTTAAAACCAAAATAAGGTGCAAATATATTGCGAATTCGTTGCTATGGCACTTATAACAGTGAAATAAAAATACTTTACAGACTGTTAGAATCTGTAATTTCAGATATTTGATTTTAATAATTTTTTCGCAAAATTTTTCGGGAAAGTTTTACTTCCAGCTCTCCTTAAAGGTAAAATTAGTAAGGTAAAACGAAATCCGCGCTACCAGAAAATGATTTTCTTCTAATTAGTTTTTGAATTCTTTAACCTAGATCCAAGATTTATGGTGGATACACTGCATCTCGAAATTTTACTATATCAACGCTTAAGTTTTGGCATATATATACCAAATACCACTAAAAGTTTTAGGAGCTAAAAAAGTGCTAGAAAAATTTGAAAAGAGCTAGGAGCTAAAACCCAATTTTCGTAGCTAAATAGAAAAATAAAGAGCTAAATCTAGCTCCAAAAGCACCAAAATGGCAACACTGCTGCTCACGTTTTCAAAGCCTTACTAAGGAGAATTCTCTTTTCTGTGTTGCCGGACAAAAGGGTGGAAGCCATCCACTGTGTCTTTGCGCAGAACCCAGATCAAAATTTACAAAAAAAGTGTATGGTTTAAGCCGAATTTGTTAATAAACTAGAGAAATTCGATTATGGTTAAAACAGTTAAAGTTTTTGTATTAAGTTTGTTTTTAATATATATTTTTTTAGGCTTTTTTAACATGTCTTCTTCTCCGTGCGAATTGACCGTGGTAGATACGGATCTGAACAAGCGACTGGAACACGGCTGTTTGTCAGAAGCATACAACTTCGAAATCGCGTAAATCTGCATTTGGTTAACCCTTCGGACGGCGCGCCGCGACAAATTAGCAGCAAAAATTGTAATTTGTGGTTTTCAAATACTAATTGTAGTAGCCGGCCACTGCCACTTAGTGATTTTGTAAGTTTTGAGATGCAGCATGGTTCACAGTTGCCACGTTATATAGTTCAGTGATATTTGCATTTGAAAGTTGGTGTCTCATATATGCGGCTGAATTGCCGCGTCGCCCCGTTGGAAAAGTGAGTTTGTAATAGAGGTCTAAATCAAAATTGTTATTTTTTAAGTATTTTGTCATGTGTAATTTAAAAATTATACTTTGCGCACAAATTGTAACTATTATGATATCCTTTTCTTAGGTTTAAGAGAAAAACGATGTTTTCAAAGGATGAATTTTAGAACGAATTTTCGTCATCCCTTGTTAAAATTTGTTTTGGGGACGAACCGGTTTCGGCGTTGTGCAATCTTCTGTGTAATTTTCTTTCTCCCGGAAACAAGAATAACAAAAAAGGAGATATTTTTGTTGATAACGTTCTGTTGATGATAACGCATAAAAGTTTATTAAATAAATGCTTATAATATGTTTCAGTATAAACACAAATTTATTTATTTATTTAAATGTTATTTGAATGATTTGTCGACATAAAAAAAAATAAAAATTCAGTCAACCTTTGAAATGCACCTTGCAGCTAAATTGCCGCGGCACGCCTCTCTTGTAACTTTCAAAGCGCGCCCTCCGAAGGGTTAATGCAATAGCATGAACGCTCTTCGAAAGTGCTAAATAAGGCATTTTAAATGCAGTAAAAACGCTACATAAATTTGCCTTTTGCATATACGGATATTTTTATCCACTGCTTTATATAAACGAACAAAAAAGAATGTTTGTTGCCCCTTATCGAGAAACTTGGGTCCGGTTTAGTTATTTGTACAATGATTTTCGGTTGTTGTGTCCAAACACACAACCCGAATCCAAAAACTTTAACGTACACGTATAATGAAAGGATTTACCTTTTATTTGAAAGATATGATTCCAATTTCCGAGTAGTAAAGTATTAATAAAATCGGTTTACACTATGGACTTTTTTGTAAATTTTGATGTGGGTTCTCTGCAAAAATACCGTGGATGACGTATCTGGAGTTATATGCACTAGTAATGTTCTATACCTTTGACACGCGAAATCCCCTCTTCTCCAGCAACACAGAAAGGAGAATTCTACTTAGTTAATAAATGATGTTATCGCTTGTCCTACTCTTCTAGAGCAGGTCAACTTCAATGTTCCTCGAAAGAATCTTTACAAACCTCTTCCTTTTTATGGGGGAAATTGTAAAACGGAGTATGCAAGAAATGCTCCTATTTCAAGAGCTTTAAATGACTTTAAGACAATCTCGAATTCTATCAACTTGATTTTTCTTTATTTATTATCTCTTTGATCTCTAAATTGCAGACTGCTTTTTGTTTTACATTAATCGTTTAANATATGTATATGTATATTACACAGGCAATACACAAAATCTCCTATGACGTCATATTTCTGTCAAAATTTTCAAGACAGAGTTAGCGGTATCGCAATCAGCGCCAACTTTTGTGTTTGTTTCAATATGTACATGAATGTATTTAGTAAAAGCCCCCGAATTGTGTATGAATTTTTTCCCACTCTTTACATGAATTAAGGGCCAATTTTGCTCTCTTTTATTTGCAAATTTCAATGCTCACCAGTGTTGCCAGAGAAAAATTTCGTTTGGAGCTAAAACGGTCGCAAAAAGAGCTAAATAATACTAATGGTAGCTAAAATAAAGAGCTATATATTTTTGTAAAGGTTAAGCATTTATTGACGTAAGGTTGCTTTTAAATTTTCGGCGGTTTTAATAAAAACAACAAATCTTATAAGTTTAAGTGCTGAAAAAATCTTTTAAAACCAAAATAAGGTGCAAATATATTGCGAATTCGTTGTTATGGCACTTATAACAGTGAAATAGAAATACTTTACAAACTGTTAGAATCGGTAATTTCAGATATTTGATTTTAATAATTTTTTCGCAATTTTTCTGGAATGTTTTACTTTCAGGTCACCTTAAAGGTAAAATTAGTAAGGTAAAACAAAATCCGCGCTAACAGAAAATGATTTTCTTCTAATTAGTTTTTGAATTCTTTAACCTAGATCGAAGATTTATGGTGGATACACTGCATCTCGAAATTTTCCATTTTATCAACGCTTAAGTTTTGGCTTATATATACCAAATACAACTAAAAGTTTTTGGAGCTAAAAAGGTGCTAGATAAATTCGAAAAGAGCTAAAAAAAGAGCTAGGAGCTAAAACCCAATTTTCCTTGCTAAATAGAAAAAAAGCAAGCACATTTGCACGTCACCTAAAAAACGTGTTTGCTCCGCATTAAATTGAACCCTCTCCCTATACTGCACAAAAAGTAAGACAGACTCTCGAACAACCCTACCAAATGGACCCACCCATAAAAAAATTCTTAAAAGCTGAGGTTAAGGAAGCGATCAAAAACTCAAAGCTAAGAAGGCTCCCGGTTACGATCTAATCACTGGAGGAATATTAAAACAGCTGCCCGAAGAAGAAATCACTTTCCTGACTTATATTTATAACGCAATTCTCTCATCTGGTTTCGTTCCACCTCAATGGAAAGTTTCCCAGGTAAAAATTATTCCTAAACCAGGAAAAAGTGCAGACAGAGTTGAGTCATATCGTCCAATCAGTTTGCTACCCATCGCCTCTAAAATTCTGGAGACTCTTTTTCTCAAAAGATTGATGCCAGTAATAAAACAAAGAAATATTATCCCTAATCACCAATTCGGTTTTAGGAAAAAACACAGCACAATCGAACAAGTTCACAGGCTTGTAAACTGCATTCACACTGCATTCGAACACAAAAAGCATTGTACAGCTGCATTCCTCGATATATCTCAAGCTTTCGATCGAATATGGCATGATGGTTTACTTTACAAAATAAAGAGTACCCTCCCGATAAACTATTATATCTTTATCGAGTCCTATCTTAAAAATCGATTTTTCTTTGTTAAGCAAGGCGAGGAGCAGTCTGAACTCTACGAAAGTTCAGCTGGTGTACCTCAAGGCAGTTTGATGGGTCCCATCCTTTACCTGTTATACACATATGATTTACCAGCATCCGAAGGAGCAATTGTTGGTACAATTGCAGATGATACTGCAATTCTCGCAATGGACACCCTTCCAAAACTCGCCTCGGTTAAACTCCAAAATGGCCTCAACAAAATAACACAATGGCTGAAAGATTGACGAATTAAGCCAAATGAAACAAAGTCTGTCCAGTTTACGTTCTCCCTTAAACGTAAAACCTGCCCGCCCGTAAAACTCAATAACGTGGATATTCCACAGCGTGATGCGACAAAATACTTAGGCATGCACCTCGACAGCAAGCTTACATGGAAAACTCATATTTTCACTAAGCGTAAAGCACTGGGAATGAAGCTCAACCCGGTTACTGAACCCGAAGTCTCAAGTCTCACTCGAGAGTAAGCTCTTACTCTATTCATGTGCTTGAAAACCAGTATGGACATACGGAATACAATTATGGGGCTCTGCAGCAGCCTCCAAAAAAAGATACAGTGCCGGACATAAGTTTTGGCACAGCAGATGATATCAACTTAAATGTCCGAATTCGGGTCAAAATAATGCAAAATTTTATTATTTTATATTCAGTGCATATTTATGTATGCATAGAGATTGCATATTTTACAAAAACTTATTATTAAACCTGTTAAATAAGGCAAGTTCCTTAATAAAACTAAAAAATGCCGTTTTTCGTGGTGACAAAAGTATTGGCACACCTTTGTTCCTTCTGGATATATTAAAGATTTTGCTGATCTGGCAGCTCAATTTAACAAGACATGTATGTTATAATCTTCAGTTATTTAATTGAAATGTGTTTTTTGTGTCAATCGAAACGAATTTTGAGTAGGATTTATTTTTTTTTGTAAAAATGGGTCGAAAACAGTGTGAAACATCAAAATCGCAGCGAAAAATAATTCTACACCTGCATAACCAAGGCAAATCTTACGCAGAAATCGGTGAAATTATGGAGCGAAGCCGTTTTACAATACGCAATGTAATAAAGCGCTACACAGGATCGACAAACTTTGAAAATGCCGAGCGAACTGGCCGTCCTCGAAAGCTTTCCACTCGGGAATGCGCCCAAATCGTACGAAAAGTAAAGAGTAACCCCAAAATTACATCGACCCAGATTACAGCAGAGATTAAAGAAGCCTTTGGTAAGGATGTTCACAGCAAAACAGTAAGACGGGTGCTGCACAATGCTGGATACAATTCTCGAGTCGCCAGGCCTAAACCAATGAT